TCTTTCGCCATCCAGGCCCCACTGCTTGGAGCCATGGCACGCATGTCAGGCAGTACCCTGGCTCAGTACACAGGTGCAAAGGTCCCTTTTTCTCTGAGGAAGCAGCCCTCTCTATCTCTGTCTGTATCTTTCTCTCTTTTTCTCTCATCCCTTCCCCCAGTAAACTTTCCACGTAAGTCCCACCTGATGGCATACTTGTCTCTCACCTGCCACGGGGCTTTCCACCAAGGTCCCTCCTCAAGCCATATTCATAACAAGTTCTCTTATGCCTTTTCTTTGGAAAACTTTGTGTGGACTTTGAAGGATGAAATACATAAAATTCTGCCTTTTTCTTTTTCTTTCTTTTCTTTTTTTTTTTTTAATGCCCATCCCCATAAATGGCAGCTTCTTTAAACAAAGTAATTCTTTGGAAAAAAATCCCCACCACCATGGAACTACATAGCATGATAATTCTGCCTACTCCCGTATTATTTAACACCAAGCTGCTAGAAAGTCTAGATAAGATGCTTGATAAATAAGACATATTTGGTAATCAAGATTTATAGATTCTTAAGGTCTAATCAGGTGCACAGTAATATTTGTCTAGCCTCATGTTTGCTCAATTTTAAGCTTTAGCTATTTGGATAAACCCACTCCCCCAAAATGCAATATTCTATAATGAAGTGTCTGGTCCCCAAAGAAAGTCTTTTTTCCCAAGGTCACACATTTAAACAAAAGTCCACATTCCCTTGAGGAAGATTCTTGCCAAAAAAAAAAAAAAAAAAAAAAAAGGATTCATTCTCATCTCTGGCAAAAGGAATTATTCGTGTCTCTTCCATTAACATATAACTGGTGTCTATTAACTTGTCAAGATCAATGTAGCTTTTTCAATCTCTGACAACAAACCACACACCAGCTCACATGTCCCCTTTCGCCCATTTAATCCTTTCACAATTATAGAGTATAACAGGTGTAGCCTTTTATTTTTTTCAAATAAAGGGGCAGCCATCCTGATTCTCAGATCATGTCAGTCTCCTGCTTCCCCTCACTGATTCTACACCTCCTCTTTGGGACTTGAACCCTGATGGACTCTGGCATCTTTCTTCACTAAATACCTGCCCATTCTCTTCCTGGTCTTCACACTTGTCATCATGGCAGAAGTGGCATCATGAATCCTAGACCTCCAGGAGTCAGAATGTAACTGTGGAGTTGCAATCTCTGTCCACACCCTCAACACTGCATGTACTATTCAATAAACACTAGATAAAACCATTTAACAGCAGCGTTTGCTTTAAAGACATTTGTGCTCACCCTCAAAGTCCTTGCCAGAGCTAGCCACTTTTGCTCTTCTCTCCTCTGTTCTCTTCCAACATTTGCTTGGCCAGCCCTCAAGACAAACTAGGGAGAGTCTGCCCAATTGCCTAAAATTTCTCTGTTTAGCCAATGATTTTGAATACAGACTAAAGTCTTCCTTCCTCCAAATGTTGGAGCAGGAATAAAGAGGAGGAAAGGATGGCTAGACAGCATGTAATAATACACTTGCCACTGGCCAATATCTGGAGGAATTACTCTTAACTACCAATGGGACAATGACCAAAAGATGGAAAAAGGAAAGGGAAAAGCAGAGCCCAGAAAACAGGGTCTTTCCAAGCTTCCTTCACACTGATGGTATTCTTTTTCCTTGTCTGTCATAAGAGTCATAGCATACTCACCTGCTTGGCTTGGAAATTCAGTCTTTTTTTTTTTTTTTTTTTTTTTTCTAAGCACCATGCTAGACACTCAAGGTCTGATAAATTGATTGCTACACACAACTCTAAAGACCACTTTGTACCAAGTATTCTTAATAACTTAGTAACACCAACAATCAAACTCATCTGATGCTTTAAAAAACTAAAGAGTGATTTCTCACTTTATTCTCACTATATTCCAGAAGTACCAAGCACAATTTCTAAAATATATGCATTATTACAAATGTTCAAATATATACAAAAGTGGCAAGGAAAATTCATAAAGTCACATCATCAAGAGGCTCATAAGCAGTCTTGTTTTACCCATCCCTGTTCCTGGCCTTGAAGCTCCTACCACTGTCATCTCAAAGCTAATCATAGTCATAGCATCATTTCATACACAATTGTTTCAAGTCCTAGCTCCTGGAGAGAACTACTGCACCATTAATCTTCTAAAGCAAATGTTTCCTTCATAGCATTCAAAATCCAGTCAGCTTTAAAATGTCTCTTCTGTTTACTTGGATCATAATCAAAATAAAGTCTGCACACAGCCTTAGTCTCTTAAGTCTTTTATGGTTTAGGTCAGCCTCCCTGCATGCCACTCTTGAAATTTATTTGTTCAAAAAACTGGCCTGTAGCATTCCCCAGTCTATGGCTTGTTGACCATTCCTCATGGTGTCATGAAACATGTTCCACTTCTCACTGGTATCCTGAACATGACAGGCTTAAATTCAGTACATTCAGCTCATGACAGGTGGGGTTTATTAACACCAGGAAGCACAGATTACCTGGCTGCCTCTCTTATCGTAAGCTAGCAGACACTGAAAATCACTAGCTGCATCTACTATTTCACAACAGACAGTAAAACAGTGACACACTGACATTAGAATGACTGTCTTTGGCTCCTGAAGTCTATACAATGCCCTCTTAGGTTTCTGATCATGTCCTTGCTTCCTGAACTAACTGGGTATTGTAGGTTCACAGGCATACTTCCTACTCTAGCAGTAGTCATCTTCAAGGAGCTTCACTCACTCCAGTGGGAACTGAGACTACAGCAGGATGCTTCATGGCAGTGCTCATGCCTTCTAGGCTGGTCCCTGCTTCTACATATTTCCAAGAAAGACCTTGAAAATTACTGTTATGGCGCCTTTCTTTAACCTCTGCTATTGTTCACCTGTTTTGTCTGTGGCCCACAGCAATGGGGGTCCCAGATTCACAATTTCAACTACTCCTCTGATTTATTCTGTAAAATACATATATGAGCCTGACATTCACACCACCAATCCAACCATCACTCACCCTTAGGACTGTTTTTGGAGCTCCTACAACTAGACTCTATTAAGCATTCATAGGCAAATTTACTGACATTTAAAATAGCTTTACCCACAATGAGATATATGATCAGGTTTACCTGTTTCAACTTGTCTCAACATTAGGGCTCTTCACATTTTTGTTTTGTTTTAAGATCATGCAAAATATGTACTTTTCCAAAGTCAAGGAGAAAAACAGAGCTCTATTCAGAGACATCCACCTTTCAGTCTTTCTGTCTCTCCCACCCTGTACTCTTCATCACAACCACTTGGTGTTTTTAAACTTTTCTCTTAGCCTTACCCTGGTGCTGATTCAGGGCCTCTCATCTGCTGGAAGTGCTCTATCACTGACTCTATCCACAGTCCTTGGATGCTAGAGCCTGGGCTCTGCCATTCCTGTTTCTGATAAATCACACTACCCTCTTCTCTACCCTGCTATTTTTCACTGACCATCACTCCACAACAGGAGGTACTGTTCACTTCTTTATACCGTTATAGACATAGTAAAAGTTAATCAATAGCTCACAGGGCTGTAATAAATAGCTTCACATGTGGTATGTTTTGTCTTATTTTTACCAGTGTAACACCAAGGTAAGTCCCTGGAAATAGGGAGTAAATATAAACATAATCTTTCTAGACATTGTAGATTCTTGGTGTGTAGACTATTCTGCACTCAGTATTTGAGAGTACCCACTTCCACCATTCCACCCAGAGATCAAATGTCACACTTCCACATTTCTTTATATAACGGTGAAACTTGTTTGCTGACTTTATCAGTACACAGATTAAGCATCTCTTGATGTACATTTAAGTGTAATTTGGAATCTTTTTTTTTTTCTGTAACCCACCTGTTCATTATATTGAATTTTTTAGGAGCATTCATACTTCATGATACAAGCTACAAATATTTTTTTTTCCAATTTGTCACTAGATTATTTTTATGTGGCTTACCATGTTTTCTGTTATATAAACTTATTTTTTATTTTAATATTATTATTATCATCATTATTATTTTATATGTATATGTGTTTTGTCTGCATATATGCACGTGTGTCACTTGTGTACCTGGTGCCCACGGAGGCCAGAAGAAAGTGTTGGATTCCCTGGAACTAGAGTTACAGATAGTTGTGAGCTACCATGTGGATGCTGGGACTCAAACAAGAGTTCTTCCCCTCGAAGAAAAGCCAGTGCTCTTAACTGCTAAGCATTTTCTCAAGCCTTACAAAATCGGTTTTTTTCCCAGCAAATTTAACACTTGTCCCCATTTTTGCCTATGGATTATAAGAGGCAGGGAATTCATAACACTACAAGCTGTAGAGAAATCTATCAAACTTTTTCATAGAACATGCAACAAATGTTGTTATTTTATATGGTATCTGACTTATTTGTAATTTAGTTCTGACACAAAATAAACAATGAATCTAATATTGAGTGGTTTTCAAACCCGGAACACCTGTGAGTATTTATTGTCCAATTTTTATTCTGTTCCACCAGTCTGTGTTTTGAAGCACCTATCACATACAGTTTATAGAGCCTAAGGGCCCAATAGCTAGCAAACCATACTCTTCCCTATTACTGTTGTTCCTTTTTTAAGAGCTTCCTTACATTCTTATTTATTTGTTCTTTCTAATGAAAACCCCTCTCAACTTCCCTAGTTCCAGGAAAACATGCAGACACAAATGTCCAATAAGGTTACAAATTAAGCAGAATGAAAACGGTTTTGAAACCAAAGGCCACGAAAAGGACTAAATGTTGAAAGGGAAAGTCTTGAAATGTTCACCACTATGTGAAAGTAAAAAGATATGGTTTAACTCAGAAAACTCTGATACCCCAATATAGGAAGTTTTTATTTACATAAATTTATACTAACCAGCAAAGAAACACATCTTCTTCCTTTATATCATGAATTAAATCAAATCATGGTGTAATGGGAATAAAATGATCAAACAAGCAAGCTGGGAAGACATTGGCAAACACTGCTCACCTTCCTTTTTCAGCCATTTCACAATGTTCCCTTGTTCCATGGTAGGAGACAGTGATGGCATTAGGATCTTAATAGGGTCAGCTGAAATTGAAAATAGGAAAGATTAACCAAGATACCCACATATATCACACACACCCACACACTCACACAAAATGTACCTCACAGTCTATTGAGAAGCGACTATGGAAAAGCCAAAATCTTAGGTTTAGAATATTTAGAATACTTTCAGCTCCTTTTTCATGACCAAAAGACATGAAACAAAATCAAGACAGAATTCTAATATCCTATAAAATAATAACCAAGATAAGACATTAAGAACCTGGTTATCTTAATTTCTTCTAGTACTATGCTATTCAATCTGCAACTGTTGTAGCCAGTAGGTATGAGCAGGAACATGGGCCTTGTCAAGCAGATTGGGCAAGAAAACCTAAGGGGATAAGCAGACCTCAGATCCCAACAGGTGATTTAAAAATGTACCCTTGGCCCATGAGGTCTCTCAGTGAAGCATAAGCATAGCTAAGGAACTACTTTCTCCTTAGACATCTAATGGAGACACTGCCTGATCATGCAGCACCCTTCCCAAGAGTCCTCACTGTTTAGGACCTCATTGGAAGACCATTTGCACTTTACATTACAACTTATATGAAAGTTATTGCAGTAGAATACCAGAACATAGAACATCCTCTGTCCCAGTGAACTCTCAAACACTGCAGCACAACCCCCACATTCCAAATGTGAGCTAGAATATGGTTTCCTTTTTTCTGCTGATGGTAGAGGGTTTCAAGGAGAGGATTTAACATGAATGTTTAAGGGGATCAGAAATTTCCTTTTGGAGACCTAATTGGTTTTGCTGTAGTTTCAAATGGAGAATGCCAATGGCTTCATGGTAAAGGAATTTTCAGTCCTTTCAAGTCATATGGACAGGGGAAAACATAAGGAGGCACGTGCTCATTTCTTTGAAGTTTTCTGGTTATAGAAAATATGTTTTCCTTTTGGGTCTTCCATGGGCTGGGTGGTAATCAATCATCTTTCAAAGACAGATCCACAGGTACATTTCTTTCTTCTCCAGTCACTGGGGTTCTGTGGGCTTGAGACAGCAATTCACACACAACTTCCTGCCCACAACCTAAAAGCCCAAAGTCTAAATACAGGGCTATACTGAGAAGTTCAACACAGATGGCCTCAGATATTAAGCCATTCCCTATTCCAACCAAGCCATCAGTGTTTAGACTCTACCTATCAATCTAATCTCCATTTACCTGACTTTTACCTGGTATCACAGTGTTAAAGAGCTAGAAAAGTGGAATGACTCATAACAGCCCAACGATGAGTCTCATTCCCTATTGACATTCTTGACATTCCCATTTCCTTTCTTTCTTTTCCTTTTCCCCTTTCTTTCTTTCTTTCTTTCTTTCTTTCTTTCTTTCTTTCTTTCTTTCTTTCTTTCTTCCTTTTACCCCTGGCTGTTCTGGAACTCATTGTGCTGTGTAGATCAGGCTGCTCCCAAACTCACAGAGATTTGCCTGTTTCTGCTTCCTGGGTGCTGGGGTTAAAGGCGTACACCATCATCACCAGGGCAACAGTCTCATTTTCAATGCCAGAATTGCAGTTCATAGTAAGAGTTTAGTCTTCCTGCCTAATTCAAGGCTAGCCCCCCCCCCCACTATGCTACCTCAACTTTGGGTCTCTGTGTTCCTTAATGTCCCTTAAATTCAACTCATCATTTAACCACAGGTTATGAGTAGCTTAGCCACCAAGAAGTCAACCACAGGAAAACAGTCATATCCATTCCACATGAGCATTCCTCATAAGTCTAACAAAATACCTAATATTCCCATTCCTTGTGCATAAAGAACTGCAGTACTAAGAAAGCACTTTCACAACTGATAAAGAGTATTTCAAATGCACCAGAGAGCAGCTAATCTCAAATGTATTAGGACAGATATAATATGGGCTGCAGAGCTAGCTCAGTGGTCAAAAGAACTTGCTGTTCTTCCAGAGGACCTGGGTTTATGTTCCAGACCCCACATGACTGCTTATAACCATCTGTAACTCTATCAGTTCCAGGGTATTTGATGACATCTTCTGGCCTTGTGGCTCCAGGTATACATGTGGATACAGACATACATGCAGTAAGAAAGTAAAAATATTAACAAGAAATAAAAGGGGGGAAATAGATTCAATGGGTCTCCTATTCCAAATTTATTACTAAAGCATTGTTGTTTGGAAAGAGCCTGGAGAACATAGACCATTCAACTTCTGTCCACTTGAACTTTCTTCACTATCACCAGCAATTTCATTTAATTCCCAACTGAACACTACTTGAGATGCAAATTATAGCTACACAACAGTTCTAAAAGTCTTTTTCTTAGAAAAACAAACCTGTGTGCACTAAAAGCAGCACATTAGGGTTCTAAATAGGTAAAAATAATACAACTGTACCACCTCAATACTCTTGTTATCTTAAAAGGTCATCAAAGTTTTAAGTCAGCTGGAAGCAGGAATTTACTTAGAGAAAACACACACACATACCTAGATGTATGTGAATGATAACCTATTGAAGCATTAGTAACGTAAGTCTAATTCCAAATTACAATGACTGTACACTCGTAGTTACGAAAAGTTCAGCAAGTGTTCAAGACTTAATACATGAAACACATTTTGAAGTAATGAGTTTTTAAATCTCGAATTATGTTGAATATTGATTATCTTTTCACAGCTTGCTAAACAAATGAAGACATCTGCCTAAAGCATGTTTATCAAGCTCAACTCTCAACATTTATTTTTTAAACTCAGGGACAAATGTGCTTGTAAAATAAGAACACAAAGCCACCCTTATTTCTAAATAGCACCATGGTAAGATGCAAGTCACACTCTAAAAAATATAGCTTCAAAAAATACAAACCACAAACAAACAAACTGCCCCCTCCCCTACCACATATTGCTCTTATAAAAAGTTCAAGCCTGGCACAATGGGACAGGATGATGTCATGATCATACAAATGTCAATCTGCCACCTATAATTCTACTTCAGAGAGATGAAATAAAAGGACACAGTGCTCCCACAATTGGATCATGACTTATGATAAACATTAAATTAGTTCTCTCAAAACAGACTCTCCAGTATTTCTACACTTGGTTCAGATGCCATAATATAAGCAATTCTTATTATCTCCTATGGTAATCTCTCACCCAAGAGACTACCACTCCATCCCCACTACTCCTGATGTAAAAGACTATATTATTAAATGTCTGCATTTATTAAGCATTATTTTTCAAAGTACAACATCAAGAACTCCAAAATTCTTGCTTTGAAAGTAAAAAAAAAAAAAAAAAAAAAAAAAAATACCATAACCATTCTTCACACAGTCACCCTTCATGGGTGAATTACAATTGCTTCTCTGAAGGATGACAATAAAATGTAAAAATCCTGCAGTAGATCACTATCCTTATACTCTGTGAAGCTGACAAAAAGCAAACAAAGCTATTTTGGACATTGTCATTACTCAGTGCTATCTCTTGACTGATTGTGCTGGCTTACTACAGATGTGCCATATTCTCCAATTCTAACCAACCTATCTATAGACTTTCTGGCTAGAAATGCCATTTTAAACCATGTGCATTAACTTATTAACAAGAATACATGTTCATCTAATAGATCCTCTGTGGATTGGAACATTATACACTTCTTTTCCAGTTTTTTTTTTTTTCTTCTGATGGGGAAAAACATACAATAATAAACCAAGTCTTTAGGTATCAGGCCTAGACATACTACTATCTGCCCTTTGTGGCTACTATCAACACTATGAAAATAGTACATGCTTCTTTAGCTCCCTGGAATGGGATTAGCTTGCACCTATGCTATTTCATTTCCATTAGATAGTATTTACAGTCTCCTTCACCCCAGTAAACAGTACATTTCACTGAGAAGGCTGTGAAATGTGCACCATTTCCTACTAATTTCAACTCACCTAACTATCAATGAGAATACAGGAAATATGAGGATAAAGGAAGTCAAGCTTAAACACATTTAATATTTTGCCGGAATTGAACTTTTTGTAGCAGTTTAATGCTCATTTCTTTTCATAAATAAGTTAGAATATTCCTAAATGGTTGGCAAGTGAAGCAATATACAAAAGTTATAAAACACTAAGAATATTAAGATTACAGTATTGTATGTTTCTAGTATTTTCTTTTGAAACAGTAATCTTTAAGAGTAAATGTCTTACAAACCATTAAAACTATCTTACTGTCTTTCTGTCTCATAAAACAACACAATGAATGACAACTGCTTAGAATGCTGCTGCTTGATGTACAATATGTGTTATATGAACAATTTATCACCAAACTGAAGTAATTTCTCTAGTTCCTCAAATCTGTTCTGTCATTTTTCCTACAGTTATATTCAGCTTTAATTTTAAATGTGGCATAATAATCTAATTCTAATTTCTCTTCCTAATGTAAATATTTATCCTGGCAACAAAACTCATATTTTAGTTAGATCGATTATACTGAAGATTTAAATTCATGATAGATACAGGAATGATAAAAGGACATTGGATTAACAGAGAAATTGCTAGAACAAACTCTTAAAATACAAATACAGAAGAAATTGCTTTGTAGTGTTAATGTGAAGCAGATCTAAGCTCCATTACAATAATGAAAGTAATTAAGGACATTGGGCAGTTTACATATGGTATAGACAAATGGCACACTCCACCCCATTTACTGAACCATTACTTAAGCAAACAAAAACCTTGAAATGAATAGGCAAAGACAAAAGTAAATTGCTGAGTACTTTCTTAGCTCCAGCACAGGAACTCACTGATAAAATGCATCTTCAAAACTGCTGTACAAATAAAGCAATCCTGCCATCTGCAGGCTGAATGGAATACAGCAGAATGAAGGGCATGTGATTTAAACCCAGCACCAGGGAACAGAAAGAACAGTAAAACTGCAGCAGAGCATGAAGGCAATTTCAGTGTCACTTTAAAATAAATGACTGCTTGCCAGCTCACTATTTTGCTGTGGTGCTGGTAGAACAGACTGAGACATCTACACCCAGTGACAGAAACAAATAT